GAAGGGACGGTCCCTGCGGAGCACAGGGGCACGCTCGGTGCTGTGGCCTTGAGGAAAGCGGGGCAGGGTGCGGGGGGGTCCCCGGAGCCGCCTGCCTCTTCTAACGAATGCGGCACTGGCCCGCGGGTGGGGACAGCAATTGGGAAGGAGGAGGCCAAGCGGACAGAGGGGATGTGTGCCTAAATACAGGGAATGCAAGTGTCGGCCATGGTTTAGGATATTTTGGGGTTAAAAGATGTTGGGGTTTTATTCGCTTAAGCATCTTATTTTTGAAGAGTGATTTTCAGATTAGAGGCCTTGCCTTCGTTCTTAAAGGAAATGTCAGGGAGAGATTTGTGGCAAGTATGTTGCAAAGGGTCAGGCCGTGGCTTTGGTGTAAGTAATTCGGAAATTCAGTGTTAGCTTAAGTTTAGTTCTTCCATGAGAAACCACCAGGAGGATGATATCTAGGGAATTTGTAAACCTAATACATTTCAGTAGGCATTGAATTAGGGAAAAGTGAAAAAATAAAGGAAATATAACCAATTTACCAGTAACTTAAAACAATGAGCAGTGATACCTGTTTAAACAGCATCTTCAGGTACATTTTTGCAGAATATTGAAGCTTGGTGGTAGCAGGGATTAGCAAATCTCAATTGCATAGGTATGATTATCTCATTTGCTTGAATAAATGTTTTTTATAAAACTGATTTTTGTGGCAACACAACTGTTCATGAGACAAAAAACATTTTGTAGAAAGATAAGGCAGATGTAAGACGCAAAGGCCTTGATTAAACAGGGAACTCATGACAGAGCTCCAGTGCAAAAAGGATACATACAGGGGGTGGAAGTGGAGACAGGCTACAAAGGAGGAATACAGAAATATTGCCCAGGCATGTGAGGATGGCATTAGGAAAGCCAAAGTTAAGCTAGATTTGAAACTAGCAAGAGATGTCAACGGTAATGAGATGCTGTTTATCAGGAAAAGGATTCACAAGGAAAATATGGTGGTGCTGCTGCTGAGTGGGGCAAGTGTGTTAGTGACAGCAGACACAGATAAGGATGAGATAGTGGATGTCTTCTTTGCCTCAGACTTCACCAATAAGGTCTCCCAGGCCTTTTGTCACAAGGCAGGGTTCAAGGAGAGGAGGAACTACAAGTTGTGGAAGAGGATTGAAGCAGGGATTGTTTACCTGACAAGTCTGTGGGCCCAGGTGGACACAAAGGTACACTCTGTCATCTTTAAAAGGCCATGAGATTAGGGGAGATCCCTGAAGACTGGAGAAAGGCAAACCTTGCATTCATCTTCCAAAAGGGCAAGAAGGACAATCCAGAGAACTACAGGGCTGGTCAACCTCACTCCTTCCACCTGTGGAAAGATCATGGAGGAAGCCATTTGTAGGCATAAGAAGGCACAGGTGGTAACTGGGGGTAGCCAGCTTTGGATTGACCAAGGATAAATCATGCCTGACCAACTGGCTTGTCCTCTGTGACAAAACAACTAGATCTGAAGATGAAGGGAAAGTGTTTGATGTCATCTGCCTTGGGCTTAGGGGGACCTAATAGAAGCCTTTAGATACCCAAGAGGAGATCATTGAGAAGGTAGAGCCAGTCTTTCTACTTAGGTGCACTGCAGGGTAACGAGAGACAGCACAAGTTGGAAATTCCAATCCGAAGTAAGGAAATGAGGGCAGTTAGGTGTTGGGACAGGTTGCCCAGAAGGTTTGTCATATTCCTGTCTTTGAAGGTTTTCAAGATCCAACTGGACAAAGCCCTGGGGAAACTGGCCTGAATTCAGTGTTGACTTTGCTTTGAGCAGGAGGTTGCACAGGGTGACCACTTGGGGTCCCTTCTAAACTGAATGATTCTGTGATTCTTGAATAATGCACTGTTTGTGAGGAGTAGAAGACAGCAAATGTAAGGCAATAGTGTAATCTTAGAAATTTTGGATAAACAAGTTACTCTGATATTGATTGAAATATTCATCTAAAAGTAGGGTATAAAATATGCTGTATAATAGAATGTAAAATGAAGGATACCAGAACTAGTAATTCCATAGCAGAAGGTTTTACTCCAGTCTTCTAAAATTCTTTGGAGAAGATGCCAAATAAATAGGAACTAATTAATACAACTGTTCTGATTAATACAGTTGTCCAGACTACTAAAGTGTGTGTGCTTTGAAATATCCCTCATGGGAGATAACTGAGAAATTATGTTTTCATGAATCAAGTCCTGATTAAGATACTAAAATAAAAACTGAAAATAGAAGTTCAGTTTTTCCTGCTTTTATGGCTTTCTTTGTACTACTTTATTAAGACTTACATTAAATCTAAAAGTGATCTGGAAAAGGCATTATTGGTAAATAAGCAAAATCTGCCACTGTCACAGTTATTAGATTAGTCAGGAAGAGAGAAAATCCTGAGGAACAGAAGAATCCAAAGGGGGGAAAAAAAGGTGAATTGATGTTATGGTGGTAAGTGAAATTAATTATTGATGAACGCAGTGCAGTGCATTGGAGGGAATTTTGTGCTACTGATTCATGTAACTGGGTTTTAAGTTGACTGCTATAGACGTTGAAGGTAGCTGAAAAGGATACGTGAGTGAAAGTCCTTTTAATCATCAGTGGCAGCAGTGGAAAATAAAATTATTGCTGAGTTTATAAAGAGTGGGTTTGATAACAGCATTGCAATATAAATTGAAGGTGTGCACTTCCTTGGAAAAATATCTCCAATTGTACACCTGTCTCAGAAAATAATAGAAATAGGAGTTCAGATACAGACAGATGAAAATATGACCATATCTGAAAATGTAATGTAAGTAGATCCGTTTAACTGAAAGTGATGATGAATAAGATAATACATGTGCAGGCATGCAAAATAGTAGCTGGCAAATAAATGAAAAGAAAGGGTCTCTTACACCCTGGAAATCTAGTATTAAATTGGAAGACCACATATTCTGTATAGTGCTTAATTAAGTTTGTATGTATTTGGCAGAAGACAATAGTACGCTCAGGAAATGAGAGGCTCAAAAAATTCTTAGACTTTTGAAGAGTAACAACCCACTAATTAACATTTTTTCTTCCCACGGGGATTTAAACCACTTAGCGTAGTCTGCATTAGGAGGTTGCTCCATGATTGTCCATTGTAGGATTTTTAATATTATCTCGCATACTTCAGAGGATTTTGTTACTTTATATTTGGTCTCGTCTATCCATCATCAGTTCTTATACAATAGTGAAGAAGTGTCAAACAGGGACCCAAGCTGAGAAGGGTGCTTTTAGGGCTGGGCTAATGGGTTAATGCTTAGCTGCAAGAGGGTGTGCTCGAGTTCCTGTCCCTGCTCCACGATTGCCTGAGTGTTCCCTTCTGTTACTGCTTTGTGCAAAACCAGCTCTGCTCTGGGTTCAAGGATTATAACACAGCCCTCTAATCTCTCACAGCTGCGCTACCAAACTGCTATACAAAAGACAGTGTCATACTCCCCTTTTTTCCTATTTATTTTTCATAAACAACATTTGAATTATTTCTTGTTGAAGTGGAATCTTTGTACAGAAAACTCAAGGAGTGCTGTCGTGCAGAATAACCTATGGAGTCATTGTTAAAACACTGTATTATTCTTGCTCCAAGTCTATCAATCTGCTATATGCTGGCTTCACCACCAGAGGAGCAGTTTATGAATGAAAACATGAATGAATGTAACCAGATCTTAGCTTTATAAGCATCAAACCACTGTTCTGATCTGTAAATATCTGGAAAAGGCCATTGCCAAAAGTAACACTTTGCCTGTTGAACCGGGCCAGTTATTGGTATTAGCCTGTTTGAGAGTTGTGTCATTGTGGTCCAGTAAGGAGAGCATAATATTTACCAAGTTACAGTTTTCAGGTGGTGCTGTTTTTAAGACAGCTACTGATGTGTTCATCTTTCTATCAAATATACTTACCTTCTTTAATTTGCAAATAGATTTTTTTAAATTTGAAAATGTATGCCTAAACTGAGCATGTTTGAACTGTTTAATGAGCTTGGTTCCCTCCCTTCTCTTGAGAAATTTCTTGCAATATGTTAGTTATAACTGCATTAGCCTATGACATTGTAATTTACCCTTGAGAACAGAGAAGGAATTGCTGCAATTTCACATGCAAATAAAAGAATAAATACAGACAACTCTTTTGAAATTTGGATTTTAACAGTTCCTTTACAATAGATGTCTTTTAAAAGTTAGAGCTAGAAATAAATCTGGGAAGTGTTACCTTCAGAAAGGAAGGTATACTGGAAATACTGCAGGCATCCTGAATTGGCTGTTGAGGCTACTTGTTCCTTATGTACACAGGTATATACTCCTAGAAGAAGCCTTAGAAAAGAACTTAAAGGATTTTTTTTTAAACAGGAATTATTCCAAATTTCTGAAATTGGTGTTTAATTCTACTGTTTTAATTCAATAGAGGGTTTAGGAGGGTCTTAATTTAACATTATGTGGTACTGAAACTTGGAAGGCATGTTCACAGAACAAGGAAATGGAATAGATAACCTATCCACAGAGCTCAGGAGCAGCCTGAAAATTTATCAGAGGTAGATGCATTAAAAAAAAAAGGGTATGTGCTTTCTACGCGTATTGAATTCACTTTTTGTAAACATCAGAGAGAGACTGAATCATCTGGATGGGGCTTGCACCGCAGTCGCTGCTTGATCAGTGAAAAAGCAGAGTAACTGGTGCATAGTACTTACTAGCAGAAGTTCTGTGGCCACCAGAAAATGATCTGACAAGTAGCAAAGATTAAGGAAGAGAGCTGAAGCTCTTGAAGAGGATTCTTAACTCTCTGCTGGGTCCATTGATAAAATCCGTATGAAGTCTACTGTATGTCAAACCCCTTGATGATCTCAATCGAGCGATTCTCTGGTGTCTCGTGAAAGCTCAGCATGAGATAAAGGTTCCTGGAGACTTCTAGGCGAGTGTTGAGGGAGCAGGCTGCCACTGCTAGTGTTTTGGCCAGAGAGGTAAAAGTTCACTGCGTTGAACATCAAAAGGAATTCATCAGACAAAACCTTTGGAAGTTCCAGCTGAAAAAGCTGTCCAGGCAGTGCTTTTGAGCAGAACTGATGAAAGCCTTTTCAAGAATGTCTTCTAGATTACTGCATAAAAAAATAAAATGTCCCGATGTCTTTCAAATGAGATTTAAAGGGATTATTAACAATACCACTTCTCATCCATTTTGGAAAAGAGCAGGAAACTTCCCTTCCCTTGTTATTTCTTAAATTATTAATTGTTAATTACTGATTAAGTTAGAGACCTATCTATCTTTGTAGGGACAATTTCTGATGTAAATGCAGTTCCTTAGAGCTTTTGTTAAATTAACAGAGAAGGCTCCAGAGTACAGGAATGTTTTTTTTAAATTCGTTCTAACCTTTTCCTTACTTTAGTCCATTTACTTTGACGCTGTGGCATCTTAGAGCTCTGGATAGTCGTTACTTAACATGAAAACCTAGGCTGGCACAAGGGGACTTGGATAAATCATAATCTGATTTACAAATTTTCATACTGTTTCAGCTAAATTTAAAAAAGGACTGGTTTTTTTTCAGATTTTTAATATATGTATCAAATAATAGCCTAGCTGTTTTACGTCTTACATTGTATGTTACAATGAGCTGTTCTTTTCAGAAGTTTCAAAAGTTAATTTTTCTACACAAGATTTTTGTTATTCTTAAATGAGCAATGAGATAGAAATCGCTGTATGTACGAACAATGTTAAGGAGAAAGGTAGTAATTGTTTTTCTTGAAGTTTACACTTATTTTTCATACTTTTCAGTATTCTCTATGTATGGAGTATGAAGAATATGGAATATTTATTCCATTTATGTAAGTATGATGAGTTTAGTTTCTGAACATCAGATATGCCAAAGAACAAATTTGACATAATTTCAGATGTAAAGCCACATTCAGGTTCTGCAGCTCTGAGGTTCACAGTCAGTCATCTTCTGATGATGATAATTAATTCATGTATCATCCGTGAGATAGTTAGCCATGTGCTGTTTAAGTTATGCTCCATATGAATAAAGTTGTCATCGTTTTTCTTTTTTTTTTCCCTTCCCTTCCTTCCTCCAAAGACACCACTATGGCTGCTACAGTGAACTTGGAGCTTGATCCCATTTTTCTGAAAGCCCTGGGCTTCTTGCATTCAAAGAGTAAGGACTCCGCTGAAAAGCTGAAAGCGCTTCTTGATGAGTCCTTGGCCAGAGGAACCGACTCAAGCTATCGTCCATCTCAGAAGGTATTGGTATTAGAGAGCATGGGTCATTTTTGTATGCCTTTTTAAAGCTCTTGCTATTCCTAGTTTGTATTTTATAGCTGATAAGTTAAGAGAGAATCAGAAATTGAGGAAAAAGAAAAGTAATTATGGAATGTTCATATTCATCATTCCCCTTTTACATAACATGATCCATTCAGTTAATTGAAGTTAATGGGAAAAAAAAAATCTCTTTGCCTTGTTGGTGTACCAAGACCTGTAAAAGAGATGTTCAACACTATATTGCAAGTGTTGGGAATTTGTTCTAGTACTTTTTGTATTCACTTTTATATTTGTTTTGGCATTTTTGTTTGTAAGCTATTATACATTCTATCTAAGGTGAACCCCAAATTATTTATTTTTCCAGTTACAATCAAAGCTAAAAGGTCTTTAAAATGCAGATTATTTTTGCCACAGATAAGTATGAAACAAAACAAGCTATTTATGGATAAAGCTGGATCTCTTTTCTTGAAATTCTGTTGATGATGTCATATGAGAATGAAAAACCCCAAATGGTTCAAAGCAGAAATGTTTTGCAGGCTGAAACCATTGCTATCCAGTGGACAAACATTATTTTTGATTTACTGAAAATCACTAAACACCTGCTAGAAAGAATATTTGAATCTGAGATTAGTGTATGGAAATAACCAAGTGGGGACTTCCTCATATTGCTACATATTGCCATATGGATAATGAGGTAGTGTTCTCCCCTAGGATGCCTAGAAGTCAGGCTGGTATGTTCTAATGATGGTCTGTATGCTCATACATTAGCAATATGTCATTTCTACGTGTACATGGTTCTGAATAACTAAAAGGCACTATTACTGCTACATCATGCTTATACTGTGTGGTCTAACTCCTTTCTATTCAGATTGTTAATTCCCTGAAACTTAAACCTCAGTTCCCTCTAACACAGGTCTCAAAACTCTCAGGAGCCCTCTGTCAGAGCTCAAAGAAGCATTGGTTTGTGGTTTAAAGAGGAAGCAAGGAGCTGAATAATAGTGCAAGAGGCTTGGGAAGCCAATTCTAATAACATTTCGGCTGGTCGTCACCTGCCCTCCAGTGAGACTGAGGCTCAGGCCAGAGGAAGAAATCTTTTATTCTCCTCTTGTCAGTGTGTCTTCAGTATCAGCTGGACTGCAAAGCCTCAGAAATGGAAAAAAGTACAAGAATTCCTTTCCTTGCATTCTCAGGCTGCAGGATTAATTTGTGTTTGACTGTGAAATCCAAGAACAGGGTAAGGAGCCCAGGATTACCACAGTCGGGCAGATGAGGAAATCCATTTCTGACTCTGGATGATAGGAAGTCAGCAACCTTGGGGGGCGGAAGCTCAGGGCTCAGGACGCATCCCAGTATACAGCAGAGAATTACTTCCTTCTTACCAGGCTGGGGCGGGGGGTACCTTGCTCATGCACATTGATGTGATTAATCACTTATTTACAGATTCACTTGCTTATTATCCATTGCTGAGACTAATGTGTCATTAGTAAGAACTATTGATTTCTGCTGAGATCTAAATTTATTAATTTGATAGGTGACATGGACCGAGATTAAGTAGAAGCCAGTGTTTTTTTCTGAGGAGGAATGAAGTATTGATGTCTGGTGACATCAGATGTCAATTTACATTTTCAGCTTATATAGAATTTTGTCCTCAGAACTATCTGAAAATTTGTGTCCATTATCTCCTTGAATTTTAAAAGCAGAATAGTTTTCCTTTTTAATTAATGTTCCAATGAGGATTTGTCTTTGGAAAAGGAGCACCTTTTCCTCTGGAAGGTGAGTGATAAGGGGAGGTGTTTTTAATAATAATGTTGTTTTTATATTTATTTTATATTTTATATTTTTATATAAATATTGTATGTTTAATAATAATGTTAATAAACATCACATTTATTGATGTGATATGAAAATATTTAAGAAATGTTAAAAAAAAATAAAGTGTATATATAGATGCTCAATGTTGTATGACTCATTGTTTGCCTATCCTGTTGTCTAACTAGTTGCAAACTAGGAAGTAACTCAGGTGTAGGGTTTGCCTTCAATTTTTGTTTCTGTTTTTAGGAAGTAGAGCAACCGAAAGTATCTGTTACCAAACCTATTTCCAGTAAGCAAGAGCCTAAAGCTTCTTCTAGTTTGCCTTCTGGTAACAACAATGGCAAGCCCACTGCATCAGAAAAGGTGAAAAAAGAAACAGAAAAGAGATCTGCTGATAAAGTAAGTAATTTTTGTTTTCTAAAGAAATAACTTGATTAATTAACTTGAGGATGTTTTGGACAAAAGATATCCTTTTTTTTTTTTTTTTTAACCTGTGTAAGTCAACTCATCCACTTGTGCATAGCCTGTGAGCTGCATTATCCAATCATGTTACCATTTAGGCAATCCAGCAACAGTCTTTTTATAATTCTGTGAATGTTTTCCCAGCTCATTGCAGGGGGATTGGACTAGATGGCGTTTAAAGGTCCCTTCCAACCCAAGCCATTCTGTGATTCTATGTTTTAAATATCATGATAATAAGAGGTTACTAAAACATAGCAAGCTGAAATGTGGGATTCCCAAAGCTTTTTCAAGGACTTTGAGGCGAAGTACAAAAAGTGGATTTAAGTTTCATAAATATTTTGAAGAAAATACGTATCTAAGTAAAATGTTGTGTGTATCCTGTGTAAAGTATACCTTACACTGATAACCTGATCGTTCCATTCATTTTCTCATTTTAATAATATGCATTAGCTTTTTGCATTTTCACATTCTCTGTGTGTGTGTATAATAGGTAAAGGGGGATACCACTGAAGGAGCTGATACGCCAAAGAAGCCCAGACTAGAGAAGCAAGAAGCTCGTTCCTCTCCTATTACAGTTCAGACGAGCAAGGATTTATCCATGCCTGATTTATCTAGCTTTGAGGAAACCAGTGCTGATGACTTTGCTATGGAAATGGGATTAGCCTGTGTTGTTTGCAGGTTAGTCAACGTTGCTTCATTGCAATTGAGTAGTAACCTTTTTTCTTCCTCCCTGCCCCCCAGTCTCAAACTATTGAGTTAATGCTTTCTGTAGTTTTTATTCTGGAAAACACTTAAGCACGTATCCAAAATGAATAATACATTTAAGCATCCTTCGTGGATAAGAATGGTTTCTTGAAAATGGAACCTTTAATGAGAAAACCAACTTTTCTTCTTCAGGAAAGGGCAAGTGAGAAATAATAAAACTAGACATGATGCAAAACCTGTCATGACAAATAGTGATTTTTAATTATTGGAAAGCAAGTTAAAATATTAACGGCTAATGATAAGCATTTTTAAAAAATCAGTTATCTTCTGAAAACATTTTTACTGGTATTATTATAAGATCTGTATGTGTTACTTCTCATTTCCTAATCATTTGACATTGGTTTACACACAGCCATGTGTTTTCAGTTAACAGTGTAAATATATCTTGTGGTCAAGACAGGTTCTTTTTAATTTTCAGTAAGGGCCTCTAAAATTGGATCTTAGTAATATTCTGCTAACAGTACATCTAGTGTTAACAGAATTGTAAAATACACTTTTGAATATCCACCCTGGGATCAAATCACTCAAATCAGGATTTGGTTTCACAGATGACTTACGTCCTTGTAAGTCCCCACTGCTGCCAAAAAGAACAGTTTGGCTCTCCTAATTGTACCTCCTTCCCTGTCCTGTTTAGGGGGTTTATTGCCCACACAGGTTTGTGATCAGCTGAATCAGCTTCTGGATCAGCTCTCCATTTGGGTTTTTCAGTAGGTTTAGGTTTTGGGCAGCTTAGTGAGTGCAAATTCTTATGCTGGCATGTGTGTAGATGCAAGAATGTAAAGCCAAGACGGAGAGGAAGGTGGGACTGGCCTTTTGGTAGCATTATATATTTTAGCTATGCTTAAGCCAGTTGGGAAACTATGCTTTATAAGTTTGTTCTTCAGTCATTTCCATGGTCGTTCCTGTTGTGCAGACAAGGAGACGTCTAGTACATGGAGGATAAATTTCCATTGTTACAGCTAATTATACTGTCAAGCAATTGTGAACTGATGAGATTTCATGTCACGTTATTCCCATGTGTTAGCTCAAATGTTTAGTTTCTTATTATAAACATTGAAAAAGGCAGAACAGTTAAAACATTTGAAGTATGAAATAAATACTTCCATTTTACCTTTCTCCCTGCAAATTCTATTTTTGCTGTCTCCTAAAGGGGCAAAGCCCTGTTCAGCAGCACGTTAAAATGCAACTAAAAACAGTATGGTATTAACTTACTTGGCAGGAGGGGATAAAGAAAAGTTTTGTTTAGACAGTCTTGAGCTGCTATGAAAGCTGCTGCATCTTCCCTGGCAAAGGAAAACATGTACAAGCATAATGAGAAATGCCTGCAAAGTAAAGAAAGAAAATGCAACTACTGTGCCTAGCATGGACAAGACTTTGCTTTGAAAAGCATAGGCCAGGTATGTGGTTCCATTAGCTGTTCCACAATCAGTGTTTAACCTGGCTGCTGAAGGCATTGCTTCTAGCTAATCATGGTCATAAATTCATAGTGCTCTTGCAAAAGATGCATCTGTCCTGGCTAACTAAAATAGCTCTTATTAAGCTGTTGCCAGAGGGAGGGAGAAGCACGGCAAGGAAAGAGACAACGCATTAGAGAGGGGATGGCAACAGTCACCCAACCTTCAAGATTTATTTTCATTTTATGTGGAAACTGCTGGAACTGACGTCATGTGGTTCTCGATCTCCAGCTCGCGCCAGACAGGACGTTTTTCAGAGTACTCCTGCTTCAGACCTTCTGAATCCAACACACTGGTTAGACAGTATTCCAGTATTTACTGCTCAGCTTTCAACATGGGGGCCCTTTTTGGGGGTTGGCCATCTTAGGCCAAAATAACAACATCCCAGTACATATGAAATATAAAAGCACTGGATACTCTGTAAAATAAATAAAATATGAATAGTACTTAGAAACTGACATCTTTTAATAACTCAATCAAATATTCAATCAATTGTGATTGAAAACACCATGTTGAATTGCAGAGTAGGTGGGGTTCATAGCAAAGGGTTTATATTTATATTGCTTAAGAAGACAAGTTAATAACAAGAACCCAGCTGTGGATTCACAAACGCAAGAGTATCTTTGAATATTAACTATTCCTTTTTTATAGATGTAAAAACTAAAGTAGAGGCATTAAATGTTTGTTCAGGATTTGTTAAGTGTCAAATGTATTTTCACAGTGATTAGGGAACCTTGATGCCTGCAGTGGTTTTCTTCTTGTTCTTTTATACCAAGTTAGGCATAAGGAGAGAGGGAGTATTAAAATAACTTCACCCTCTCCAATACCTGCAGGTGTTAGAAAAACAGGACTCGCCAGTTATATGGCTCCTCAGTTATTTCAAGAAGACATACTACATGCAGTTTGCAGATGATAGTGAACTGTCTCTCAAAAAACCCAAAAAATATGTCTTTTAAAAAGCCTGGTTTTGAAAGAACAACCTTATTTTTTATTAATACTTTTTTGCTTGTTTTCTGAAAGTAAAAAATAATTTGGTGTGTTTCTTAATTACCGTATCTTTTAAAAATAAGTCTGATTTAACTTATTTCTGGACATGAAGAGTTCATGTTTTTTTAATCAGTCTGGCATTGTTCTTTGTAATTTTAAAATACGGTGAGTTTCCTCCCTTGAGACATGGGGTTGAAACATCACTGCTTGCTTCTGACCCAGTTTATTTAGGAATAACAAACAAAACGGCTTTTGAAATATCCTGCATCTAAAATAATAGGCCCTCAAATTTCAGAAAGGTTTCTCCCTCTGTTTTTAAATAGTGCATTTAAAAGAGAAATATTTCTTAGAAAATGTGCTAGTATCCATATGGACAATACCTTCAGACTTCATTTTCCTGTTATATAAAGAAATAAGGTAATACCTTTCCCCACCCATCTACAAATAGAGTTTCCATGGTTACCTGGGTACCTGCTCCTTGGGGATATGAGCAAAAGCAGCTTAGCAATTAAATAGCCTGATTTGTCATCTGAAGGAAGAAATCATTAGGAAAATGGTATTTGGCTAATTCACAGACATACTCCCAGTCATGTGTATATCACTAATTTGTCATTTATACAGCGTGATTACTTTCACCAGAGGCCCACGCAAAATTAAGTCCTCATCACCAGCTTACATGTTTGCTTCAAGGCAGTACTGCACAGTTAATCCTCTCTGTTCCATCTTTCCATGATTCTGGTATTATCTCAAATTCCAAGGGTCTGTTTGTGTAGTAGGGACCAAAAGGATGGGTAGTAAAATATCTTTAAAGTAGTATACAGCTTGGATGATGATGCTTTTAAATCCTGTAGCAGAAAGCACTCTTGCAGGCTTGTCATTGAGAAATTATTTGTTCTTGAACTGTATTGCTCCACAGCTTATAGCAAAATTATCCCAATGTAAACTAGGCCTTCATATGCTAACGTAATAAGGAAGTCATAATTGGTATACACTGAGGTATCTATACAGTGCCCAGGTGAAGCAATGTAGGTGAGACTTGCATTTCTAAAATAAAAATCAAACAGGGAAATCAAAAGTGTCATATACACATGTTTAATAGTGTAGAAGTTCTAGATTTTCTTGAATGAAATTGCATTTAAGAATACAAAATTTCTAAAATATTTGTTAGGAAGAACTCGCACAGGAAGAGAAGGAATATATTTTATTTGCCACAGGTAGAAAATATACATGAAAGCAAAAATATTTTTAGTTTTTATCTTTAAGCTTTGCAAAATTTGCAACAATTGGATAATCCTTTAAGTGCTTTCTCCCATAATCTGTTCTTAACTATTTGCTCTGCAGGCAAATGACAGTTATTTCTGGGAATCAGCTAGTGGAGTGTCAGGAGTGCCATAATCTCTACCACCAGGATTGCCATAAACCTCAAGTGACAGACAAGGAAGCGAATGATCCTCGACTTGTGTGGTATTGTGCGCGCTGTACCAGGCAGATGAAGAGAATGGTAGGAGTCAGGTTTTTGTATGAGCACTGTTTGAATACAGCAGGCTATTTCTAATACGTGAGAGTATTTTATGGGTTGCAGAAATCTTTGGAAGTATGTTGGAGAACCATTTTTCTCAGCAGTGCTTCCTTTGCTGTAGCTGTGGGTTTTTTTAATGTAGCATCTAAAAGAGTGTTCTGTAATGTGCTTTTTAAACAGAGCTTTTTAAAAAGCAGGAGTTGAGTGAAGAAGAGTGAAATAGGATTATTTCCTACTTGGTAGTAAGCAGCAGTTGAAAACTTACTATTTCAGGTGATTCTTTGTTTTTAGTACGTGTCTACCAAATAGCCCTACAGTTCTAGTTTTCTTCTCAGCTTTGGACGTGGATAGTTGTTTTCCTGAAGACAAGACTGCAAATTTCAGTCCAGATCTTAAGTGCTGAGTGTTCTCAGGCTCAACAATAAGCTGAGGGTAGCACATTCCAGGAAAAAAATCCCTTTATTTTGATTGATCTGTGTGTTAATTTCTTGACTAAACAGAGTAATTATTCCTGATCTCAGAGGAATACCACTCATCTCATTATGAGAAACAAACATCAGAGTAAGAGGATCTTTTGGTGCATGAAACATTAACTGTTAGTTCGCACAACTTCAGTTCTGACGTTTTAAAATCAAACCCTTTTATACAGCAGAAAATGTGTTCTGTTTTGGAACTGTTCTATGGTAACTTAGCAAATTGTTATCTGTTGAAATGGCCTTACTAAGAAACAAGAAAAGAAGGCAATGATCCTGACCTAGGAGTTATCACTGACTGAAGTACACGTTTATTCTGATGATCATCAGGCCTTTGAACTCAGAGGAGTGTTTGCTTGAGGTCAGTTATTGCACAGGATAGCCATTGCAGCCATTCAACACTTGCCTTTAATATGCCCTTCCTTTCCTTTTTTTGTTTCAGCATAAATTTTACCATTTTACCTGCCACTTCTTAGCAGACTCAGCTCCCAGTACTGCTGGATTATGTCCCTGTCTTCCTCAAGTTCACCCATCTTTGCCTTACTCATGTGAAGGCCCAGTGCTTTCCTGTTCCCTAAGTGTCAATGCTGCTGCTCTTTCCACACTGAAATAGCAAGTCCTATTCAGTATGCTTTTTGGCTAGACTCTGTCCCCAGTATCCCACTCAGCACTACCTCCATATCGCCTGTTACTTTATTTCTCAGGCACCGTTTGGCTTAAAATTGTAAAGGCTAGACTGCAATCTGATAATGCTCATGCTTTTTGTTAACAGTTAAAACAGTCAATGTTACGGGGCCTGTAACTAATTTGGAGGGTTTTTTCCTACCACTTATACAGGCTCAAAAGACCCAAAAACCACCTCAAAAACCAGCTCCTGCAGTGGTTTCAGTTGCACCAGCTGTGAAGGATCCATTGGTCAAGAAGCCAGAAATTAAGTTAAAACCTGAGACCCCGCCAACTTTTCTAGCATTCAAGAGAACAGAAGTCAAGGTAATGTAATTTACATTTTCCAGAGGAAGAGTTTACAGTTCATTGAATAGATTATTGCTTTTCCAATTAGACCAATCTTTTCTCACAAGAACCATGAATGAAAATAGTCTGCTATACTATGTGTACTGAGTAGTACCATAGCATAGTGGGTTTGCATTAACATTGAGAGTGGGGGAAAAAAACCCTCAATTCAACTGTTAAGTCCCTAAAGCACCCAGCTCTTGACTGTGTTTTTATGTTACAAGGGAGAGAACAGAATTTACTCTATAGATTTCTTTTTAATGATGTTTTATACAAGTAGAAATCCTCATAAATGTGGACTAGCAGCCCAGAAAGCCAACTGCGTCCTGGGCTGCATCAAAAGAAGTGTGGCCAGCAGGTCGAGGGAGGTGATTCTCCCCCTATACTTGGCTCTTGTGAGACCCCACCTGGAGTACTGTGTCCAGCTCTGGGGCCCCCAGCATTAGAAAGACATAAACCTGTTGGAGCAGGTCCAGAGGAGGGCCACAAAGATGATCAGGGGGCTGGAGCACCTCCCCTGCGAGGACAGCCTGAGAGTTAGGGTTGTTCAGCCTGGAGAAGAGAAGGCTCCAGGGAGACCTTATTGCAGCCTTCCAGTACCTAAAGGAAGACAACGGAAAAGATAGGGGGGGGCCTCTTTATCAGGGAGTATAGTAATGGGATGAGAGGTAACGGTTTTAAACTGAAAGACAGTAGATGAGATATTAGGAAGAAATTCTTTACTGTGAGTGTGGTGAGGCACTGGAACAGGTTGCCAAGAGAAGTTGTGGCTGCCCCCTCCCTCGAAGTGTTCAAGGTTAGGTTGGATGGGACTTTGAGCAACCTGGTCCAGTGGAAGGTGTCCCTGACCATGACAGGGAGGTTGGAACTAGATGATCTTTAAGGTCCCTTCCAATGCAAACCATTCTATGAACTGTACAGAAAATATGATTTTCTCTCTGCAGTCAAGTAACGTGCTCATTTTGATAGTTAGAAGGCTTCTTCTCATGATAATAGGGAAGCTCTAGCTGGCTGTGTGAGATCTAATTTAGGAGGCTTCTGCTTCTTATGTATGTTGCTTCATGTTTCTGTTTCTCCAAATTATTTAATAAATATTGTCACAAGTTGGTCAAAGGTGGTAAGCCAGAAGCAGTGTAATAAATAACATAGTCTAACAAAGTGTGACCCTTATCTAGGAAAACACATCTTTAACTTAGAGTCAAAGCAATTATTCATGTGCTCAAAGTTACATTTGCCATTGCTTAGCCTGGATGCAAACTATCATGAATAATATGATGGCTATTGCTCAAGCGCTTATATTTGTGAATAACTTTTTTCACCTCAGCAGCGTTATTTATGTGCCTGAACGGGTTGTAAGTGTGAGGCCCAATTTCATCCATCATCTTTACTGTTTAGAAACTGGATATTATAGAAGGGGTATTACTTGAGGGTTTTAATTTCTGTTTTGACTCTGCAATTTGATATAACTCTGGTTTAATAATTCAACATGTGTATTATCCCCATCTGAAAACTGCGGCTTATAGGGTTTAAGGTGTGGGAACTGTGGTTAATGTGTATAGGACTTTGCAGGCAAGGAAAACTTTGTTTGCAGGAGGTTTGTCTTTTGCAATATCTGAATGGGAAGACTACAGGAAAGAAGTCCAGTGACTTTTTTTTTTTTTAATTGTATCTATGGTACAGGCTGATAAGAACCAAGAGGAGGGAAGGGAAGGAAAGGAAAAAGTTTAGACACTGCTGCTTTGACTAAAAGACTGTAAAAAATGCAATACTTAATTGCTCAGTGTATGATTTTTTTTTGTCTGAGCATCTTGTCATCTTGTTAAAAAGTGACACCAGGTAATGGCAGTAAACAATTAAAAGGTGGCGGCTTGCCTCTCTTTTTTTATGCTTCACAAATTTGAGCTTTTTGTAGTTAATTCATTACACCATCTTTTAGAATTTATGGGGGGTTTATAATGCCATATAATAGCTTGCTAGCTGTATAGAAGAAAGGGAAGAACAGGTAATACTGGTTTTATGCGGCTGGGAAATTAAAAGTTGGCCGCATCTGGCATCCTTTCCTTTTCTATTAATACTTTTAACTGTAATGACCAGTGACGAAATATTGTCCATTGGGTGTTCCTGGGAACAGAACTGAAACAGATTTTTCCTGCTGTGATGTGTTGCACAAACAGATGCTACGATAATGAGAATGCTTTATTTATTTTAGACCTCAGCAGCGATTTCGGGGAACTCGGCCAGTACAAGTGTTTCCTCTTCAGCAACCAGTGGCCTTACAGGATGGGCTGCTTTTGCAGCCAAAACCTCCTCTGCCAATCCCTCAGCTGCCAAACTGGGATCAACAGCACAGAGCACCAGTGGGAAACCTGCAGCTTCTTCAAATAACCAGAAACCTGTGGGTTTGTCAGGGTTGGCAACTTCCAAAACAGGACTAGGGTCAAAAATAGCTTCTGCCAACAACAGCACAAACCCTGTTCAGCTGAAACCTCCTCCGCCTCTGACACTGGGGAAAACCACTCTTAGCCGTTCAGTAAGCAGTGACAATGTCAGCAAAGTAGGTCTTCCTAGTCCCAGTAGTACTGCGCCAAGCACCAGCAACCAGGTGAGCAGTGGGAATGGCAACAGCGGGACTGCTGGTAACAGCGGGGGCAGCGCAAGCAAAACCACAGCAGATACTGGTAATCAGTCAACCTCCCTAAAAGGCCCCACTTCTCAGGAATCTCAGCTCAATGCTATGAAGAGGTTACAAATGGTCAAGAAGAAGGCTGCTCAAAAGAAACTCAAGAAGTAGTACAGCTGCTTGCTAGTTTTGTTGGTTGTGTTCTGTGAAACAGCAGCGTTGGTGGTTTGTTTTTTTTTTTTAAAGAAAATCCCCTGGTTACTGGACTGAAGCAGTAGTTGAATCGGGGAAGCCCAAAACCTATGTTATACAGGAGATCAAACTTTGATAATCCTAGCATTCCTTCTGACTTTGCAAATCTATGAATTGAATATGTTGGAGGAATTCTCTATTATATGCTCCTGTTTTTTAGCTCAAAGCACTGAAACTTGAAATTGTAAAAGTCGGGTATTTTGGAGTATAAAAAACAGATTTATGTGGACACTTAATAAATTGAACTTTCTGAAACTGCCATTCTTAAACATTATTAATAAAAGTATTATTAATCTGGGAAATAATTGCTGCTTTTCTTTTACCCCATTTTCCAATACTTAAAATGCTTCACCTGTTCAGAGTTGTCTATATTGTGCAGAGTTAATGAAGTTTATCCCAAATTCTACAGTTCCTTAGGGAAAAAAATACATTTTCTTTTAAACAATTTCAAAAATTAACTGTTAAAACAACATATGTTATTTAACGTGAGAATTTTAAGTGGCCTGTTTTGTTTTTATACAGCGAGAAACTTCATGGGTCATGTTGTTGTTACGATTCTCTGAGGGAGGAAAAAAGAGCATTGGCAGAAGATAAGTGGCCCCTAACCCATAAAAAGAGTGGAGGAGAGCTAAACCAATGTTTTCAAGCTTTCTTAATCTGTTTTTTCTGAATATGAATGGAAAATAAGCGGTAGGCAATGTATATTTTAATTAAAAGCACAGTCTGATTGAACCGCATTGTTTTGATTTTGTGAGAGAGGTAAAAATAGAAGAAAATGGAAGGAATTGTCTTAGGTGTCAATAAGTTGGCTTCCTTTCTGGCACACCTGAAACACGTAAGACTTTTTGATCACCTAAGTATTCTGTGCTGTTAAGTATTGCTATAAAATTCACAAGCCTTACATGTGTCAAAGTAGTATTGCCTGCCAGCCTGTCTTGGAAAATGAAGCTTCTGGTCTCTTAGCTGTTCTACCATAGCCTGTATGATTATTATTTAAAATTACTGCTTTCTTATACAAGGAAGTAGCAAAGGCAGAAGTCTCTTAAGTAGTTAGTGACAGTGTTGGTAGACAAAACCCCTTTTCTACCCCTGTCAGCTGGATTCTAAGGGGAGGCAGGAGGGAGGGAAGGGTTTGTTGCTTTTTTAAAAGTATGTCTATTACAGAGTTTTGAAATCAGTTGGAAAACCTTTTCCAGCAATTTCTGTAGGAGATAGAAACAGAAGTAGATGCATACAAGTGCATGTCTTCCTTCATGATACTCAAAGCAGCAAATGGATTGGGTATATTCTAACAGTTCGATTTCTTTCCCCTTCCCCTCAGTGATTTGTATTTCAGAGGGAAGACTCTGCTCGGGCATGCTTTCCCAAATCTGCTGGAAGACTCTGTATTTGAATTTACTAGCAAGTGTTACAGAACTCCTTGTAACTGGCTATTGGCATTGCATCTTTCAAGGCTTGTATGTAGATGAGTTTAAACCTGGGGAAAAGGGTTGGATTTTCAGATGCAATTTGGAGAGAACGGTCAGGGCATATTGGAGAATTAGAAGAGTGTTAAGATTATAGAAAGTTGATTCCAATCTCCTGGCTGCAAAAACATACTCACAAGGAAATGCTAGGACAGAGACCCTACCCAGCTGTATTATGGTACCTGTTTTATCCCTTGAGTTGTAATTAGATGGAGGCAAAACTACAAAACACCATACCAGTTCTGATGTTGCACGGTGTTGGGTTAGTATTAATCTAAGACCCATGGCAAACTCCCTGCTTGGGTTTCGGGCTGGCTAGCCTGCCACCAGTGTCTGAAGGTGCGAGGGCCAGCATCTGGAACTTGGCAGGCCAAGGTTCCACATAACCCAGAATGGGGATCCTAATATGCCGCTGTCCCTCCCATAGTATTCATGGGACAAAGGGCCGGTCTCATTTGGGCAGGGGGCAGAGGTATTTAGAAACCCTCTTCCTTTCTCCTTAACTCACAGACTTCCTTTTTTCCCCTCTACTAATTGCTTTGTGGATTTGCAAGTATCTGAAATGGTGACATAAGGTATGTTAGCTGTTAAAATAGGTCAAAAATATTTGTAATAGCATAGATTTTTCAAATAGAAAAGATTGCTCAGAGATCTGAATATATTCCTTTAGCCATTTGTGAAGATTAGGGTTCATAATTTGCTTTCATAAAGAATAATGAAAAAAATGGGGTTTTTTATCCCCACATAGGAAGAGTTTTCTTATTACACTGAGTGTCATTTTCCACACAACTTTCATGAGAACTGTCATATCTGTGTTTACATATCTGTGTTTCGTTGTTAGTTAGTGTCTCGGTTCCAGGAGCAAATGAAGCAGATGCCACAGGATTATTGCAGGAGAGAAGCTGTGCCAGGGCAGAGTTGCATCCAGACATCAGCAGTGTCCAAGGTGACTTGTATCCTAGCAGCATCTTGGGTGCTCTGCCTAACTGCTAATAATACTATGAACTTGAAGGGGGTGGAGGAGAAGAATTTTGTCTCTCTGTGTGGGTATTGTTCAAGCTGTATATGTTAACTTCCCACTTTCAGGGCCTCAGCTTTGTCTCTCTTCATTTTGCAGAGCATAAGCCCCCACCAGCCTCAGCACCATCTTGCACTGAGCCCAGCTGCTGATACAAAGGTCTGTAGGTGCTGTGACTGCCTCTGGGGAGCTTCCTGTGGAGGCATTCATGGCTTTTTCCTGACTAGACCTAGCTCTTACACCCACAAGCCTCCCTTCAGCTATTTCCATGTATCCTGCTGGATTCTGTTACACTCCTTCAAACCTGTCCCAGCCACACGCAGGTTACACTTAATGCTTTACCACGATGACTGAGACAGGTAGTTGAGAAAGTATCAGATCTTCAGCTCTCCACTCGTGCCCCTGAGCTGTTCTTCACAGCTTACGCTCCCTCTCTTTGTCCCAGCCACTCCAGGTTTTGTTCAGCTCTCAAGAACTGGCTCAGGCTGAGCACTGGAAAAGGATCTCGAGTGTTGCTGTCTGTGACCAGCACTCAGCAATCCTCCCTCCGTTCCTTCTTGTGATGAGGGGAGCATCTCTAAACACGAAAACATCTCAGACTTTTGTAGGTAGGTGAAAGCTACATCTTTTCTTAGCCATTCTGTATTTTAAGTACGTGTGGAGCTGATACATGCAGCTATTTCCCATATCTCTTTTTCCTTTTCCACAATTAAGATTTAGACTAAGGTTCCTTGAACATCTAAAGGAGTAGTTTCATTTATTCAGGATTGCCTTAGCTACATAGAGAATTTGCATACTTTTGCAACTATTATTTTCTGCGGAGGAAAAAAAGAAAAGCTTTGTCTTTGTAGTGCCTGCAGCTTCCAGGGCAATTTAAAAATAAAAGCACGAGGAAGAGGAATCCAAAACTTTTATTGCTTTTCGGTCAGCCCATCCTTCTTCCTCTCTAGCACAGAAGGTTTTTAATGGTGGTATAGTAGGAAAAGACACTGAAGCAGTTTCCATTAGCAAACAGAAGGCATATTTTCTTCCTAAATGGTAATCAGAAGAATGTTGCCTGTGCTATGATGTAGAGTGTGAAGATAGATTCTTTTAATGGCTGGAATGCTCCTGTGTAAAGTGTTCACTCTAGTGGTAAAACCTGTTCCCACAGGAACATTGCAAGGTGCTAGTTGCCTCCATCCTGCCTCTGAATATACATATAATTTTTCATGCGAGAGTTCAGGAGCTTACATCTGAACTGTGCAGATTACTTTAGGTACCACGCATGGGGTGAACAAAGGCAGAAGAAATTGATCTTTGTTTTTAAATTATGGTAGCTAGTGCCATTTAAAATACCTCTGAGACCTGATTCAAGTGTATCCTGACATTTTTACATCTGTAACTCTGGCATGGGTTGACTGTAGGTTATCTCCTATTCATTTAGAATGAAATAACTTACCCTATACCTTTTACGCATGCCTGTCTTTTCCCTCTAATAGGCCAAGTCTAGCTAGACTTGCTGAAATCACTGTATTAGCAAAATCTGCAATAGAGCTGCAATTTGTATCAGCAAAAGACTTTCTTCCATTCTAACTTTCCCAGCTTCCTAAATGAAATATAAAGTCTCCTTCAGTTGGTATAAAAATGTCAGTTAGGATTGTGATTCTTTGAAGTATTATATCAGGAAGGATTTATAGCATAGACCTGGTCTTTTAAATCAAGTGTTTAGCTTGAATATGTAAGATAGGCACTGCTGAAAAACAGAGTAGATTGAAGGGAACAGTTGCTTTCTGCTTTGAAGTTTTAGTTAGGATGGAATTAACAACTGTATTTTCAGGAAAGGAGTCTGTTCTACATGATTGTTTAACTGAATTTGCATGTTGGGTTGAGGAATCTAGTGCAGGGCAGAAAGAAGGCAGGCCCTTCTGAATTTTGAGAAGCGTACCTCATGTTTAGAAAAAATAACTGGAAAATAGTCCTGTGATTTTTCTATCCCCAAACCAAATTGCTGTGTGATTTACTACAAAAATAGCTACTTGACTTCCCTTATCCATTTTCTAAATTGGTATGCTAATATTTTACTTCCACTTAAATATGTTTTTTCATAAATGCCCAAATTCTGATACCCTTAGTAATATGAAATGATAGATTACTCTGGTTCCATGAGTGCTCCTTCTGTAAGGACTAGGGGATGCTGGTGATATCTGGGTCTAAGAGGAAAGACCCAACACAAAGTTCTGTAATTTATTTTAGTAACACAAGATTTTATCTGTTACAACTCATGACAAGCCTCTGGCTGGACACAGCAGTAAATAAAGGTCACAACCTCGGGAGCAGCTAGAAAAGAACAGAACTGAGCTGACATTCAGAAACTTGAAGTGTAGTTTGAAACTTGCTCAGTATTTTGATAGTGTTTGACGAGTTCTACTATATTGATAACTGAGTTAGGATGCATACTAGAAATGCAGCCGTTTGTCTGAGGCAACTGTCTATTTCCTCTGCTCTGCTAACTTTTCGGTGATGCTTTTTATAGTTCACAACAGAAGACATCTTGGATAGCATATAAAGCTCTTTGCTTCTGGAAAAAGTCTTGTTTAAAAAAAAAGAAGAAACATCTTTACAAAAATAGATTTTTATTATTACAATAATTTAAAAGAAGGTTTTTTTCACCATTTCTGAGCAAACAATTTGTAAGGGGAATTAATCAGTAACAGATCAACAGGCACAATGATTGTCATGGCTGTTTTTCCTATTGCGGGTGTTAGGTCCGCTTCGCATACCTGCATTTTTACAAGACAGCAGA